CCTACAGATGTTTTATGTGCCAACTCTCTGTAATTTGAATTTTAACTCATTGACTGCCAGCCATTTTCAGAACAGAGAGTCCCATACTGCCAGAGTTTTGTGAGCATTTTGACTGATTTTTCAAGAGCCACAGAATAGTTTGTGCTATGACTATGTAAACGCCGAACACACCAAAAGAAAGAGTAGACTCTCTTCTTTCATCAAGAAATTTTTTTTGTTTCTACCTTATTCCGTTCTTCCTCGACTTGCGTCTCACCGGCGACATGTTCTCTCATAGAACCGTTACCTTTTTCTTATTTGCCTACAGTCTATGCTCATCTCCCATCAAAAGTGGCACTGCCCCCTAGAGGGTCAATTTGTTACTACATACTCTGTCTAGAAGCCTGATATTTACGGAAAAGCTTTAGCAGATCGTCCCCCAAGCAACTCGCGTTGAAAAACATAAAAGACGTCTATAGACGTCTTTGGCAGCCAATGAGTTAATGCTTTTCTATTGGTCTCAACTAGGTCAAGGCCAAATCACAACTCAGTTTGTGTTTGTCCAACATGTTGCTACAAGTAAGGCCGTCGGATTTGCAAAACACAAAGTTTCTAAGTTTTGAGGAGGAGGAGGAATACAGGCAGCTGTAAAGGGTTCATGCACTGAAACAATAACAGTTTAAATAGATTACTTTTTACCCTATAATGTGCAATATTTGAACTTTTTTTTGCATTCGACATGCTATATCTACATTATTTTACACTCAAATGTAAAATATTTGATTTTTTTACCCTTCGCAATACAATATTGACATTTTTTTACCCTTTAATGTAAACTATTTAATATTTTTACCCTTCAACATGCAATATTTACATTTTTTACCCTACAATGTAAAATATTTTACCCTTCAACATGCAATATTTACATTTTTTTACTCTTTAATGTAAAATATTTTCATTTTTTTACCTTTCAACATGCAATATTTAAATTTTTTATCCTGCAATGGAAAATATTTGTATTTTTTTACCTTTCAACATGCAATGTTTACAATTTTTACCCTTCAACGTCTAATATTTGTTGTTTTATATCCTACAATGTCAATGTTTAGAATTTTTACCCCTTGCAATATTTA